GTCTAATTCGATTTATATTTCTAACAACTATTTCCATAAATCATATAGTGCATAATTTGACCTAACAAAGGACTTTTTGCCATAGATTCACACACGTCACTGCAGTGTTTTTAATAAAGTTATTTAACCCAAAATACACAGTAGTAAAACTATAGTTCAATATCTCATCTTCCATCTTAAAATGTTTTTTTAAACAAAACTAAATAACCTGGGTAATAATCTACTGAATACAATGTAGGAAAGATGACAAATAAAGGTATGGAATTGCATCACTGAACGTTTTGGGCTGTTTTGTGACTGTGGGATTTACAAGCTGCCTCTGATCTGAGTTTACAGCTAAACCGCCCCTCAGTTTACACAGCTAATCACACCTGAGCAGCGCTGACCCCACAGGACCAAAGAATCAAAGAAAAACATGCCCGGGTGTTAATAGTGCCATTCTTCTTCTACTCTGCGAACACTGTTTTTCTTACAGTCCCTGCACCCTCCCACTGTCTCAATCACAGTGTTTTTTTAATGAAGAAAGTATGGCAGCACACACAGACAAAAATGAGGAAAGTCGGGGGCCCAACGTTGGTTGATGAAACTTCAGCACTGTGTTGAGATTGGGCCTAAGAAAATATATCCCGGTTGCCAAGGATTGAAGGAGAAGCTTTGATAAATAAATGTGTTTTTTCACTAATGACAACTGTTAACATAAACTGAATCAGAGCTGTGTTACATATAACTCAGCACGATTCAAAGATTCATAGGGATGGTTAGAAGCAAGCTATCAGCATTAGCTTACTGACACATGTTCATCTTAAAACCAGCTCACAACAAAATATAAAGTGTTTTTAGAATGAATGGAACTCCAGACTCCCCCCTCTATGTCTTAGATTGCTTTTGTTTTTCCGCAGTCAAGATTTCTTATTCTGAACAACATAAATTTTAAAAGCTTCCTAGATCTGTCAGAAATTGGAATTGGTGGTTAGACCAGCGTGTGCCACACTTTGTCTCAGTTGAAGTATAACTTATCAACATGGGTGCGCCGGCAAGAAGCTGTCATCACTGAAGCAGATGGAAAACTTTGGAAAAGAGAGCAACACGAAAGATGAGAAACCACTGACAGGGTTAGGAAACAGCATTTTCCAAGTTAGTGTGCATTCACAGCATGTGCACTAAGCTCAGCTGTCAGTGAATATCTATTCTGACACGATCCTACTCTTAATCTTTTATCAACTGACCTGCTGCATTTGTGGATTTATGTGTGCTGCGCGTTCAGTTGGTTCTGGCTTGTACTGGTTCACTGGACAATGAGTTAAGTAGGGAAAGAAATTCACCTGCATCATTTGCATCACCTTATTTCAAACGTTTCATCACCAATGTCTTTACATCCAAACTGGGCTCTAGTTTGGTTTTGCGGTCTTTGTGGAGCCGCCCTTAACTGACCCTTCTGAATAACACATAGATTCAGTTACATTTAACCTTTTCTTAGGTGTGATTTTTTTGTTTTTTTGTTACCAAACATAGACATCTTCGTGACATACACACAACTTTATATATTTGCCAAAATGTCAAATAATCATGTTCAGTTAGGAGTTGACCTCACTGGAATGCTTTCTCTTTAAGGTCCTTAAGAGTTGCCCTTTTAAAACTCTAAAAGAAGAACAAAAGACAGCAGAATTTGACCATGTATTTTCACATGCCTTAAATCTATAATTATTCAGCTTCTACATTGACTGTTGCTGGTCTACAATTGGCTTGATTTCTCGTTTATTAGAGTCTTAAAATAAAGATATTTCTTAACCAGTACTTGTAAAGCTCTGTTAAGAAACAACATTTTAAAAACAAAGGGTGAAACAGCTCCCTAAAACCTCAAACTGATGGGAAAGGTTCATGTTTTAAACTCTTTTCCTGCATAACTCAATCATCCCTGTGCCTTGGTATTCCCATATATTACATCTGCTTAAACATACCAGCTACCTTGAACGTAATCTGTCTGGCTTGTGAGCTGAACCCTCCAGGCTGTCAGCTTTCAGTTAGCCTGTGGCTTCTTTCAGAAACCCAGCCCTCAGGATATATATGAAAACACACACACACACACACACAGTGATACTCTACACACCGCAGAGTGTATACTTTAGCTTAGTGTGGTGAGGATGGAAATAAGAACACAGACCGATGCAAAGACAACACAGTGGACATGAAGTTCATCCTGTGTTCACGTCTACGAGGTGGGTGGTCAGATATTTTTTCTCTCAAAATTTATAAGTGAACTTTGTGTATAATTCATCTCGGGAAAGTGGACTCTGCTCAGTTGGAGGAAAAAAGAGAAAGAGAAATTAAAGTAAACATGCATAAGTTGTTTTGGGTAGACTGAGAACTGTCTGCGCCAGATGTCCTGCCGAAAAATTCGAGTCGAAGAATAGAAGTTCTGATACTTGCACAGCTGCAGTATGAGGTAAGCAGGTACAGGTTATGCCTTGTCATCATTAGGTGACCTTGTCTTTTTGACGGCTGCCACCTTAACTTTGCAGCTAATGAGTCAGACGTGACACTAATGATGAGCAGCAGTGACAATCAGCCCACTGCTTTCGCAGTTCCTCTGCTGTCAGAAGAGACTGACCTTTATTTCAATCCGTAATGATCTAATGAGCGAATAATACTATTTCAAAGGGAAAAACAGGGAACAAAAACAAGGAGATGTTAATTTATTCTACTTTCCAACCACGGTGCCTGACATGTTAAAGCTGCACCTCAGTGAATTTTAACCATGTAAACCTGAAGCCCACCATCCCCTAAAAAATGCTAAAAAGTAGACATGTGATGTCACTGCTTTACTGAAGCTCATGTAAAATAAAGTTTAGAAATTCTACATTCACTGAACATTAAGATTACACATTTTTCCTTTCATGGACAGTCTTGTGATTTCTTTGAGAACTGACCATCTAATCTACAAAACAAGCTATGATGTGGTCCGACAAAAAAACATTAAATCAAAAACACATGGGAAAAGGGAAGGCAGAAACAGATGTTTGGACAGACACATCCTACAGAGTGTGCACATGCATGTCTGTAAACTAAGCTTGTTCGGCGTGAGCGGATTTAGTAAGTGTGTGATATCCACATGATGCCAGCCGTTTTTGATTCATAGAACTCGGCCTGGAATATGGCAGTGAGCTTTGCCATTCTTTGATCCTTCGGGAATCAAACATAAGGTCATCAAGTTTGATCCAGTAACACTGGAGGGATGTCAAAACAAAGCAAAGCAAGCTTGACAGACTCAAAGTAGATTTTAGTATGATGGAATGTATTTTCGTTATATTCTCAAAACTTTTAGCATCATTTGCTTTTATTTGGTTCCCCCAGACCTGTTTTATTTGATGTTCATGTAAAAAGATCAGTGTGTGGGTGCTTTTGCTGGTACTACCGACAGATGGCACTTATCTGGGTGAATATTAAAGATTAGAAAACAGAACCCACACGGACGATGTGGGTCATTTTTCCTTTTTTCTTTATTTCTATCAGGGCAGTATTTAATAGGGAGAAGTACTGTCAATTATATAAACTTCATTACAACTTTGACTGCAGATTAACATTTCTCTCTTGCACCAAAATCCGATTCCAACATATCGACAACATTACTCTGTTAGATGCTATATAGATCTGTTAGTGACACTTTGCCATGTCTGATATTTAGATCTGTGTGCATCTCTCAGTCTAGTTGAACCACATTCTTACTGTAGCTGCATGTAAACAGTCCAGATGCAAATTTGAACCATGTGAGCTTCAGTGTCTGAGTAGAAAAACTGGCTTTGCTTTTAGTGAGCTGGCTGCAGCTGTAACATGCTGCTCACAATATTCAAAAGTGTCTCAACTCTGTGGACTTTTATTGAGAATCAACCATAAAAGATTTATGCTGAGGACATCCCATCTACTTCCAGTACATTTTTAAATTGATATCAACATTTTAAGGCTTGATTTGAAGGCTGCATTTGGAGTAACAACTACTTTTTATTTGGACATGCTCGTAAGATTTAAACAAGCCAGACCACTCTGGCCATCGGCCATCTGAATCAAACTCTCCCTGTGCCTCAGGTCTGCGTGAATAAAATGTTGGTAACTTACATGTTCCATCTTGATCGTCTTTTCACTGTATTTTCAAGGAAAATGGATTACTTCTTATAATAGTTTGATCTAAAATTTCCTCATACTGGAAAAATGTTTGTTTTCTTTATACTTATTGTCTCTTTTTTCCCTTTTAAAGTCACGCGTACTTTAAACACATGCTCAGGATCTGTTCAAATCTTTAACTCAAACAAACTGATACAATTATCTTTTCTTGTAATGGATTAACCTTGGCGGATGCGAAAAACATGAAATGAATATGTTTTCATTGCATACACACCATCCACCTCATTATAGACTGAATGTGAGATGTTAATAAACAGGAGACAATTCACCTCCAAGTGTCTTAAGCATTTTAAGCACAATTTATTTGATTTTATGCTTATTTTCATTTTTTTTAAATAAAAACATCTGACTGATGTGTATTGTATTATTATGGTATAACGTGCAAGTAAAGTTTTATTAGTTTTCCAGAATAAGTATAAATGAATACATGTGATGCAAAAGTGCAAAAATCAGTTTGTCACTAAAGATCTCAACTAGTAAAATGGAAATTACAGGCCGGAAAAGTTACACAGTGATTGATGCCTTTAGTGAATATGTCCCGATGGTCCATAATTCTATTTGTTGGATTAGCTCTCTGATTGCAAGAAGTAAATTACAGCAGAGGCTTTCCAGTCTCTCAACTACATATGTGGTTCCGATTGCTTTAGAAATGTTGCTAAATCTACTTTATTTATGAAGTTCCCCTAAATCTACTTATTTAGCAGTTTTTTCTCATTAGTTAATTTACTGTATATTCTCCACAATGACAGCTATTAGGGAAGACGGAAACATATTCAACAAATCGACTGACACAAAGAAAAATGGATAAAGGAAAACAAACTTACGGGGGCTTTCCTGGCTGAAGTGTGGGGAGTGGATCTGGAAAAAGGAGACAATGGGATTTCTTTTACTACAGGATAAATAATATTGGTCCCAGATTTCTCTTTGCGCAAGCTGCCAGACACAAACGGAATCAGCTGAGATGAGCACGGCTATGAGAAGCCAATTCTTTAACAGAAAAAGATGAGTGGAATAATACTGTCTGTCTTAGTTTGGACCGCTGAAATCTTCTTACCGAATTTGACAAACAGCACTCCAGTTGTGGACACGGTGCCCTTGATGTTGGTGGCCACACACTGGAAGTAGCCTGTGTCAGTCGTGTCCAGGTTGCGGATACGGAGGCGGGAACCGTACGCCATGTAGCGGTAGGACACCCGTCGGGGCTCCTGGACCACAGGGGCATCATTCTTCAGCCAGCGCACACTGGGTGTTGGGTTGCCGGACACACGGCAGTGAAGCTCAGCTGTTTGGCCCAGTGAGGTGGTTATGTTGTTCATAGGAGCCTCAAGATGAATGAAGAATGGGCCTAGAAGACATAAAGATTGTGTATAAGATAAAAAGTGGGATAGGGAATTAAGACAGATGACCAAAAAATTGGGAAAATAAGTTTCAAATTAAAAAACAGACCAAGAGAAAAGAAATTCCAGAGAACCAAAAAGTGAGAGGAAAGCGATTTTATCACATAAGGCCAAAGAGGTAAATCAAACAACACTTAAACTAAAGCCAAACCTTACGTAAAAGATGCTGCAACGTGAAAAAATGTGGTTAAAAATAATCTGTCAATTCAGAAGCTCGTGCTCGGAAGCTGGTTTTGCAAATTAATCTGTGGTTGCTCCTGATGCAACACCTAATTTGACATTCAGCCAATGCTTTATGAGGCCAAAAGCTTTCTCTAAAGCTGCTAAAGGAAGACAGGAGCAACAACACCTAAGGTATTGGTTGAGGTACAAAAAAGGGGGGGAAACACAAAAAAAATCAGAGATAGTTCATCTATCCTTTCATTCATCTCAAAAAGTAAACTTTCCTCAACTGTGTGCACTTATGTTTTAATCCAACTTCACAATTTTGGAAATTTGTGTGGTACAATTCATACCAACAGATCTTTCATTAAAGTGCTTGACAAAAAAAAAGCAACTTTCAATAGGGCCATCTAAGGCTTTTCATGCGCATGAAAACACTGGTGTTAATATCATGAAAAACTTTTGGAAAGTTTTTTCAACCCAAAACCCATCCTAGGTATGCAGAAATTCTTTTGGGTTTCCTAAAATGTCCAAAACAAATAAGGAATAGAAACCACATGGAGGGAAATCTTAAATCAGACGGACATGAGCATTTGTGAACAGAGGTTGGTGAACAAAAATACAGGCACATACACTGTTTCACGGCAGTGTGTGCACCTCCATTTTTGTTTGTTAAATCTTTACCTCTGCATACAGTACAAATAAGAAATCTAGAAACTTTGACGAGATGTTTGGGAGTAGACAATGACTAAAAAATTAAAAGATTAGTTCTACTTCAAAAAAAGAGGTTTTCTCTGCTACAATGACACTTTGCATTCATTAAATAGAGATACGAAACCTCAGTCATGAATCATGGGGGACTTTTGCACAACATGGTCTTGCAGATAATCCTTTTTCAGGTAGCTCAAATTTTAAGGTCAGCTGGACATACTGACAGATCTAATTAGGCTGAAATCTAAATGAGGAGTATTTAAGTATTTTCATATCACTGCCAGGTCAGATGATTCCCAACTGCAGTAATAATGTGATTAAATATCCCCTTGATTTCAGTAATATTCCCAGCTTGTCTCATCATCATAATCACACATGGACATCATCTTTAACTAAACCTTTTAAAGACTGAGCATTTGGTCATCTTAGCTAAAGTCCCATCATGACAACATCAACAAAATCATACTGCTTTGCATAGGGCTGTTGGTCTTGTCACATTTTTATATGGTTGTGTATTTGCCGTGTGATCTGACTTTCAAACTGTCAACAAAAATCCCCATAGTCATTCTGAGTCCATTCTTTTATACACTCCTTCATATAATAGTTGCCCTACTTGCTTTACCCCTAAGCCTAGACTCACTGTCCCCAACTAAAGGTATTGGAGGCAAAAATGGAAATAAACAGACAAACAAAAGCAAAACGATCCCCCCAAAAGACTCTTAAATGACAAGTGCCGTGCCAGACTCATGAGGGTCAGGTAAGGTTTATCACCATCTCATTAGTTGAGTTGATGGAAAAGAAAATGTTTTTTGGGGCATTGTGTCTGCACAGTTCATTAGTTGGTATAATAACCGACAATAAAGCAGCGGGGAGCTAAATGAGGGAGAAAAAGACACGAGGAGAGGACAAGAGAGGATAGGTGAAGAGGAGAAAGATGTCCTGCCAATGTCTGTGTAACAAAGCCACTGTACATAATAGTCTCGTGGTGAGTGTTGTGGTATTTGGCTCAAGGAGCATGTTGAAACTCAAACCCTTGCTGTAGACTGTACCTTTAATGTGGCAGGCGACTAAATGGTGCCCTGTCGTCAGCTCAGATTTTCTCAAAGTACTTTTGTACAATCAAATGCATGCATGCAGGCACATATATGTAAACACACGCACACCCACACAACCGCAACAAGCCAAACTATACATGCTCAGACCAAGACACATCATACAATACCCAGAGATTCTCCCCAACCAAACCGTTGTATAAGTGAATGAATCTGATACCACACATATAGTAAAGATGTTCTAGGTGTCTTTTAGCCAAACTCAGGAAGCCAAGTGGCTACACAACTAACTAAACCTGCTTAGTAAATATGCCAGGACGTCTGAACTGTGGCACTGCCAGCTACGAGGTTGATTTTCATAACAACTGTATCTTTCTTGAACAGAGTGCAAAAAAGTGGGTAACAAAATTTATGAAAAATATAAAACGTGTAAAATTAAACAGAGTGAAAGGATGTCATAGTTCTGTAAACTATCATTAACCTGAGATCAGGCCAACAGTGAGCGTCTTTCAAGAAGACAACTTCCTGCTACTGATGCTTACTGATAGAGCCGCACTACCTGAATAGTGTGCATTTGGTCAATCAGAAACATTCTCTGCCTGCAGACAAAACAATTGTGCAATCTTCATAGATTTATCAGATAAGAAACAGATGTTAGTCAGCGGCTGAGCTCAAAATGACACAAAATGACTGGTGCTGGTACATTGCATTACTAGGTTTTCATATTTCGTGTTGTGTAAACATGAAGCAGCCTCTGGTTTGTTTGGATGTCTCCCTCATTATATTTATAATTGAAAAAACACTTTGTTTGGTCACCATAATTATTATCTTCACAAAACTGCTCAATCATGTCCAAAAACTACTGTTTGCCTTTTCTGTGTTTGACAATGCCGTTTTTGGTGTACACATAAGCTGATGTAGGAGGATGTTGTGGGAGTATTTGTTTCACAAGAGAAGAATTAAGCTAACCAAACAAAATGAGAGTGCAGAAAAGGTCAAAAGCCTCATCTTGTGGATCTTGTAATTCTGGGTGTAGAAGTGGGAGTTTTAGGTGGATGTTGGTTTTTTAGGGGAAACCAAAAAGACGGGTAGAGATTTGATGGATTACTGTAGGGTGGAAATTAGAAGAAAACATGTCTGCAAAGCTTGAAGTATCTCGCTCAGATGATGTTTTGGTGCTGAAAGGCTTCCTTTGGCAGGATTTGTTGTTGTCGGTAAGAGTTACATTTTGGGAAAAGTCATAGCCACTCTGTGGAGTTTGGATGGCCATACACAGCGTTTGAATCTGATCTCTGAGATCACATTCAGAGATGGTCGTAGCTGCATGTGGCTTCATTCTTTTAGGAATGAATCTTAATGTAACTTTGCTGCAAGTCATGTCCACCAAACAGCCATCCATCCATTTTCTGAACCGCTAATCCCCAATGGGGTCACTGGGGGACTGGAGCCTATCCCAGTAGTCAATGGGCTAGAGGCAGGGTACCTCCTGGATGGTCCAATTCATCAAACATCTACTTAAATAATGTTCTTTTACTAACTCACAGAGAAGTAGAACAATATATTATTATATTACTTGTCAGTGCAGTTTTGGATTCTGAGAAATATTTTTCTGACCACTAATGAGTCAGATTCTTCCCTGTGATACTTGTGTTTGTATGCACAAAGAGTGAAAAGGCAGATCTCAACATCATTTACTATGCAGAGATTTTTTTTAACATTATGTAGCAGATCAGAAAAACAAGTCATGCCCTCTTACTATTTGAGAAATTGACAAAATACTGAAAACTCACAGTTTATGAAAATATACTTTGATTAAAAAAATACTGCACAAAGGACATACTCAAGAAGTACCAGCACATTTCAAGTTTCCACTCGTAACTATTGCATATGGAAGCTTTTAAAGTAGGTCAGTGGAAATAAGAAATACAATACACCTGTGGCTCTTTGCCCACATTTGAGGAGATCAATTTGAAATTCATTCCATCAATTATCTTCCGTAGTGTGTTTTTGGAAGATTTTTAATCTTTAACACGTATTGGAATGTAATTCAAACGACTCTTGTACAGTAAAACTCCACATGTGTTCATTTGCACAGTAATAGAGATTTGCTTAGGATTTTAAGCAGATTTTCATTTGAGGTGTGTAAATTTGTTTGCCATCACCTGTGTTGTTCCATGAAGTGGCAGCTAGCACACTGGTGTCCTGAGGAAGCTCAGATCCTGTGGAGAGAATGAACATTATCAGTGGCATGTTTCCAACTGTTGACTTTATCAAAAGTGTAAGTAAAATAATAATGGTAGAAAGAATTTTTACAGACACACATGCATCAACAAATGTGAGGTTGGCATTGGGATGCACGGTACTGGTGCAGATCAAAGGCTTAAATGTACAACAGGGAGCCTATCAACGGGCCATGTGGATCTAATGCTCTGTTATTAGCAGCTGACGACAGAGCTGCCCTCTGCTTCTCATTACAGGAGGGAGGAGACACAAAATGGGCTTCAGTGTGCCGTACTACAGGTCATAGGTGATTCCACACAAATTAAAAAGCCAAACATGTGGGGACCCTGGAACTGTGTAATCATGAGTGATTCCCTAAAACACAAAGACAACTGGCATACACTCCAATCACACACACTGTCCCATAGTTACAAGCAGGGCGTGTGTCTGTTTATGTGTGTTTTTGTGAAGGCTGGGATTTTTAACATGATAAATGAACAAATGGCAGCCAGCCAACAAAAAGACAAGCACTGTCAATTCCCAAACATTCAAGCAAATGCCTCGCTGTTTGTTTTAAACATTGAAAAAAAATACTTAAATGCCATAAGCATTAATGGTTTAGCAACTTTCTATTAATGTTTGTGGCACAAAGGTGGCAGCACTGCACATGGAAAGAAAGTGGTCTGTTAAACAGGCCCAGAGTCTGACACCAGGTCCCACTAATTGGGTGATAATGTGTGACTTCACACGTGTGGTGTCAGGATGGTAACGGCT